ATATATATATATATATATATATATATATATATATATATATATATATATATTTTATATGCGCAGTACTTAGTTTAAAGTGCTCAGCATCAGTTATAGGTATAGGGCTAAGGTTTGTCTGATGATTGCAAAAGCGTAAAACTCAAGATCACAACCTCATATCCATATAACTATATATATATATATATATATATATATATATATATATATATGTCTGTGTATGCGTGTGTATGTGACATTAGAACTCCCCCCTACTAGACAGACACATATACACAATTACGAATACATATTACCATGCGATCCCTGCTTAGACATACAGGAATCTTTGCAAACTGACTTATAGAATTCAATGTACGTGATACGTGACTGTCCAATGAGAATCGACCCAAACAAAATGAAGAGACTATTGCAAATCTAATGATATACGTTTTAACCGGCTGGCAGAATATTTTCCTCAGATGAGTTTGTTTATCTCTCACAAACTTAAAAGCCTTCATCATTCCAATGTAATCAGACTGTTATGTTGACCAGATATTTCGTTTTTAATCTAATATACCCATGACTTTGAAATAAATTCTGTGTTTTACGCTTATTACATTTAGAAAGAAATATTTCAATGGAAATTGGATTTGACAAAGACTTCTTTATTTTTATTTTCGACTTCGAAACTGTTCGAATTCTGTTTGCCAGACTACTTTATCTTAAAATCATTAATCATTTCTCTGAATGAAATCTTGTCAAATGCGAAAGGAAGAAAACACTAGAATGGATTATTTTGAAGAAGTATTGTTATGAGACGTAACAGAATCATGTTCTTGTAAAATCATTGACTTTCTTTTTTTTTTTCTTTTAGATCCTTTGACTCGTAAAAGCGACCTTTCGTCCTTTGCATCGGGTTTTAAAAACATTTTCTATCCCTCGGATATTAATTAATTTCATTATGACATTAAGACTTCTGGCCAGAATATTCATCTTTGCTGTTTTTATCGTTAAACATCACTTCAACTCTTCTCTCCCGGAAACTATGGATTAAACAATAGGAGTAGATAGGTTTGCCTATCTTCCGGTTTAAACTCCTCCCCAGTCTTTTGAACAGGAGTAGAGGTTTATCCCTTGGTTTCTGTTTTTGGTTTGGGTTTTCGGTTCATTCTAAAGTCAACTTCCACACGAAACTTCTAACGTCTCCGATTGAACTTTGAAATTTTATTCACTGATTAAATCTTGACCTCTTCAAGTCTAGAGTCACTCGTTATCTTTCCTGCACACCCCAAAGAACTTCACTTCTTGCCCTTTCATGCACTCATACAACACCACACAGCAATCCTCTACCTTGAGTGGCTCTTGGGCCTTATATTGGATGAACATTAGTAAAACAGTAGATAGATATGAGAAGACTGAGTTAGATAGATAGATAGATAGATAGATATATAGATAGATAGATAAGAACAGACCGAGATAGATAGATAGATAGATAGATAGATAGATAGATAGATAGATAGATAGATAGATAGATATCCACACTATATTTCTAACATCGACTGAACTTTTGACGTTTCAAGTCTAGAGTGAGGCGTTATCTTTCCTGCATAGCCCCAAGAGCATCACTTCTTGCCTTTGCTTACGCTCGTGCTACACCATAGAGTAACCCTCTACCTCGTGTGGCTCTTGAGCCCCGTATTGGGTGGACATTACTAAAAAAAAAATAAATAGCAGGGTATACTCGTTAAGCTAGTCTTGCTTCATAACCAAAAGCTACTCCATTATCTTTCCCAAGAAGTCTTAGAAATAAAGGAAGGGAAACCATGATTGTCAATATACAGAAGAGAATTATCATTAAGAAAATCCCCCGTGGGATTAGACCATCGTCTTCTTATTAGTGGAAAGAAAACCTACATAGCATCGGCATCAATCCTTAATAAAACTGCAGTTCGTATATAGTGATTTTCCAAGCGTAGCTTAGATGTGGCACAAGGCCGAAATTAGGGGTACCCAGTGAGGATCGAACTCGCTACTCAGTCGTAATTGTTCTAGCGAGACAAGCTTGTTAACCATTACACCGCCTCGGGGTGCCCCACTGCAGTTCGTATATGTAGTGAATTTGATCCTCACTGGGTGCCATGCGACTGTATCTATATACAAATGCTAAGCAAAATGAAGTAAATAGCTGGCGATAACTGGTTGCTGAGATATTTGCATAGTTAACACTAACAGCTAAGTTAAAAAGCAACCTAAGTGTATGCCTAAGTTAAACAATGGCTGTCCATTTGGAAGAAGGCTTCCCGGGAATATTAACCGAAGTCCAGTTTAAAGATGGCGTCCCCGTAGCCAGGTCAACACGAGCATTGCGCTCAGGAAATATAAGAAAGCACTGAAGTACTCAATAGATCGTATGACCCGCAAGAAAGGGGCGAGGAAAGCGTGCACTGCAGAGAAGAGGTGCCAAGGAAACAGGACAATTTCTGGTACTTAACGACATGTACGCATGCGTGTCTCCAGAAAACATAACGTTGTAGTGCGTCAGAAAATTGTCTCTTCATTTCGACGATCGTGCTATTGAAACATTCATTTACACACGTGCGGGTCTAGTCTACGCTTAGGAAATATGAAACAGCGTTGACTTATATACAATCGATCGCATGATCTGAACGAAAGTCTAAAACAAGAAGAATTCTTGCACTGCATGATATGACAGATACATTATTTTCGCTCTTGAATAAAACTATATTATATTTTATTATTGACTGTTATAAATCGAAATATTTTACTGCTGTATGAATAGGTGCCAAAACGGTTTAGTGCGTTTATCAAGTAAAATGATCGATAAGCATATAAGTGCAACGGTAGGCTGAAAAGTTCAAAGTCTGAAGCAGTGGTGCTAGAGCTGTAAACAATTGCATTCATTAATTTCGACGCTTCATATTAATAAGAGGGTGGGCTGAAAACTTCATAGGCTGACTATGAAGCGGTGATACTAGAGCTGTGAAATATTGCATTAATTAATTTCAACGCTTCTTATTAATAAGAGGGTTGGCTGAAAACTTCATAGGCTGACTATGAAGCGGTGACTCTAGAGCTGTGAAATATTGCATTCATTAATTTCAATGCTTCTTATTAATAAGAGGGTGGGCTGAAAAACTTCATAGGCAGACTATGAAGCAATGACATTAGACTTGTGAATAATTGCATTCATTAATTTCGACGCTTCATATTAATAAGAGCGTGGCTGAAAACTTCATAGGCTGACTATGAAGCGGTGATACTAGTGCTGTGAAATATTGCATTCATTAATTTCAACGCTTCTTATTAATAAGAGGGTGGGCTGAAAACTTCATAGACTGACAATGAATCTGTGATACTAGAGCTGTGAAATATTGCATTCATTAATTTCAACGCTTCTTATTAATAAGAGGGTGGGCTGAAAACTTCATAGGCAGACTATGAAGCAATGACATTAGACTTGTGAATAATTGCATTCATTAATTTCGACGCTTCATATTAATAAGAGCGTGGGCTGAAAACTTCATAGGCTGACTATGAAGCGGTGATACTAGTGCTGTGAAATATTGCATTCATTAATTTCAACGCTTCTTATTAATAAGAGGGTGGGCTGAAAACTTCATAGACTGACAATGAATCTGTGATACTAGAGCTGTGAAATATTGCATTCATTAATTTCAACGCTTCTTATTAATAAGAGGGTGGGCTGAAAACTTCATAGGCAGACTATGAAGCAATGACATTAGACCTGTGAATAATTGCATTCATTAATTTCGACGCATCATATTAATAAGAGGGTGGAATGAAAACTTCATAGGCAGACTATGAAGCAAATGACATTAGACCTGTGAATAATTGCATTCATTAATTTCGACGCTTCATATTAATAAGAGAGTGGGCTGAAAACTTCATAGGCTGACAATGAATCTGTGATACTACAGCTGTGAAATATTGCATTCATTAATTTCAACGCTTCTTATTAATAAGAGGGTGGGATGAAAAAACTTCATAGGCAGACTATGAAGCAATGACATTAGACTTGTGAATAATTGCATTCATTAATTTCGACGCTTCATATTAATAAGAGCGTGGGCTGAAAACTTCATAGGCTGACTATGAAGCGGTGATACTAGTGCTGTGAAATATTGCATTCATTAATTTCAACGCTTCTTATTAATAAGAGGGTGGGCTGAAAACTTCATAGACTGACAATGAATCTGTGATACTAGAGCTGTGAAATATTGCATTCATTAATTTCAACGCTTCTTATTAATAAGAGGGTGGGCTGAAAACTTCATAGGCAGACTATGAAGCAATGACATTAGACCTGTGAATAATTGCATTCATTAATTTCGACGCATCATATTAATAAGAGGGTGGAATGAAAACTTCATAGGCAGACTATGAAGCAATGACATTAGACCTGTGAATAATTGCATTCATTAATTTCGACGCTTCATATTAATAAGAGGGTGGGCTGAAAACTTCATAGGCTGACAATGAATCTGTGATACTACAGCTGTGAAATATTGCATTCATTAATTTTAACGCTTCTTATTAATAAGAGGGTGGGATGAAAACTTCATAGGCAGACTATGAAGCAATGACATTAGACTTGTGAATAATTGCATTCATTAATTTCGACGCTTCATATTAATAAGAGCGTGGGCTGAAAACTTCATAGGCTGACTATGAAGCGGTGATACTAGTGCTGTGAAATATTGCATTCATTAATTTCAACGCTTCTCATTAATAAGAGGGTGGGCTGAAAACTTCATAGACTGACAATGAATCTGTGATACTAGAGCTGTGAAATATTGCATTCATTAATTTCAATGCTTCTTATTAATAAGAGGGTGGGCTGAAAACTTCATAGGCAGACTATGAAGCAATGACATTAGACTTGTGAATAATTGCATTCATTAATTTCGACGCTTCATATTAATAAGAGCGTTGGCTGAAAACTTCATAGGCTGACTATGAAGCGGTGATACTAGTGCTGTGAAATATTGCATTCATTAATTTCAACGCTTCTTATTAATAAGAGGGTGGGCTGAAAACTTCATAGACTGACAATGAATCTGTGATACTAGAGCTGTGAAATATTGCATTCATTAATTTCAACGCTTCTTATTAATAAGAGGGTGGGCTGAAAACTTCATAGGCAGACTATGAAGCAATGACATTAGACCTGTGAATAATTGCATTCATTAATTTCGACGCATCATATTAATAAGAGGGTGGAATGAAAACTTCATAGGCAGACTATGAAGCAATGACATTAGACCTGTGAATAATTGCATTCATTAATTTCGACGCTTCATATTAATAAGAGGGTGGGCTGAAAACTTCATAGGCTGACAATGAATCTGTGATACTACAGCTGTGAAATATTGCATTCATTAATTTCAACGCTTCTTATTAATAAGAGGGTTGGCTGAAAACTTCATAGGCTGACTATGAAGCGGTGATACTAGAGCTGTGAAATATTGCATTCATTAATTTCAAAGCTTCTTACTAATAAGAGGGTGGGCTGAAAACTTCATAGGCAGACTATGAAGCAATGACATTAGACCTGTGAATAATTGCATTCATTAATTTCGACGCTTCATATTAATAAGAGGGTGGGCTGAAAACTTCATAGGCAGACTATGAAGCAATGACATTAGACCTGTGAATAATTGAATTCATTAATTTCGACGCTTCATTTTAATAAAAGCGTGGGCTGAAAACTTCATAGGCTGACTATGAAGCGGTGATACTAGTGCTGTGAAATATTGCATTCATTAATTTCAACGCGTCTTATTAATAAGAGGGTGGGCTGAAAACTTCATAGACTGACAATGAATCTGTGATACTAGAGCTGTGAAATATTGCATTCATTAATTTCAACGCTTCTTATTAATAAGAGGGTGGGCTGAAAACTTCATAGGCAGACTATGAAGCAATGACATTAGACCTGTGAATAATTGCATTCATTAATTTCGACGCATCATATTAATAAGAGGGTGGAATTAAAACTTCATAGGCAGACTATGAAGCAATGACATTTGACCTGTGAATAATTGCATTCATTAATTTCCACGCTTTATATTAATAAGAGGGTGGGCTGAAAACTTCATAGGCAGACTATGAAGCAATGACATTAGACCTGTGAATAATTGCATTCATTAATTTCCACGCTTTATATTAATAAGAGGGTGGGCTGAAAACTTCATAGGCTGACTATGAAACGGTGATACTAGAGCTGTGAAATATTGCATTCATTCATTTCAATGCTTCTTATTAATAAGAGGGTGAGCTAAAAACTTCATAGGCAGACTATGAAGCAATGACATTAGACCTGTGAATAATTGCATTCATTAATTTCCACGCTTCATATTAATAAGAGGGTGGGCTGAAAACTTCATAGGCTGACTATGAAGCGGTGATACTAGAGCTGTGAAATATTGCCTTCATTAATTTCAACGCTTCTTATTAATAAGAGGTTGGGCTGAAAACTTCATAGACTGACTATGAAGCGGTTATACTAGAGCTGTGAAATATTGCATTCATTAATTTCGACGCTTCTTATTAATAAGAGGGTGGGCTGAAAACTTCATAGGCTGACTATGAAGCGGTGATAATAGAGCTGTGAAATATTGCCTTCATTAATTTCAATGCATCTTATTAATAAGAGGGTGGGCTGAAAACTTCATAGGCAGACTATGAAGCAATGACATTAGACCTGTGAATAATTGCATTCATTAATTTCGACGCTTCATATTAATAAGAGGGTGGGCTGAAAACTTCATAGGCTGACTATGAAGCGGTGATACTAGAGCTGTGAAATATTGCATTCATTAATTTCAGCGATTCTTATTAATAAGAGGGTGGGCTGAAAACTTCATAGGCTGGCTATGAAGCGGTGATACTAGAGCTGTGAAATATTGCATTCATTAATTTCAGCGATTCTTATTAATAAGAGGGTGGGCTGAAAACTTCATAGGCTGGCTATGAAACGGTGATACTAGAGCTGTGAAATATTGCATTCATTAATTTCAATGCTTCTTATTAATAAGAGGGTGGGCTGAAAACTTCATAGGCAGACTATGAAGCAATGACATTAGACTTGTGAATAATTGCATTCATTAATTTCGACGCTTCATATTAATAAGAGCGTGGGCTGAAAACTTCATAGGCTGACTATGAAGCGGTGATACTAGTGCTGTGAAATATTGCATTCATTAATTTCAACGCTTCTTATTAATAAGAGGGTGGGCTGAAAACTTCATAGACTGACAATGAATCTCTGATACTAGAGCTGTGAAATATTGCATTCATTAATTTCAACGCTTCTTATTAATAAGAGGGTGGGCTGAAAACTTCATAGGCAGACTATGAAGCAATGACATTAGACCTGTGAATAATTGCATTCATTAATTTCGACGCATCATATTAATAAGAGGGTGGAATGAAAACTTCATAGGCAGACTATGAAGCAATGACATTAGACCTGTGAATAAT